AATAATTATGGAATGCATGTATATTCAACCTACCTCGACAGTATTATGGAAAGTAATCGCTTGCTTGTGTAGTTTTTTAGTTGAAAAAACATTAAAACACACGGTTGTTATTGCTAATCCTGCATCAGACTATGATAATTGAATTTAGTTATATAAATATTCGTGTTGTTATATATTATTCATGATCAAAAGATAGTGAAAACACCACACCGTTAACCATTTGAGATAATCTGAACATAAGGATTTGACCGAAAGGGGAGTAGAACAGTTCTGATTTAGAGTCTTCAAACTACTTGTAAACATATTAAGGGCTTGAAAGAAATCAAGCTTTGGCTCATTTGCAATCGTGTATTCAACATAGTCTTGAAGGCACCAAGCAAAGACCTTCTGCTTCTTAAAATAATCATGAATATTTTCCACACTCTCGTCGCAACAATACTCAAAATGTTTTGTTGATAATAGTTGAGGTTCACGTTCCATTGATAAAAGTTGAGGTTCACGTTCTATTGCGAAATACTGTTATACACGTCTTCTAATGAGAAATTTGGGAAGAGGTTTGATTATCGAGATTATCAAGGTAGCGATGCGACGGGGTATTTATGGATATTTTAGTATCACAACGTGATGATTTCTTAGAGTCGTTCATGTTTTTTCCTAATTCATTATAACATTGTTACATGGGAAATAAACCATTTTGTAGAGGTTTTATCAACTCAATTAATGCACATGCGTACGTTGGGGTGATCGGTCAACTAATTAAATCAAACCATCAATTAAGTAATAAACATGATGACGCTCAAGCATCACGATCAATGATGATATTTATAGAATTAAATACTTGAGCATACTCTTTTTCTATTTTTCGTGATCTGCGTTATACCACCTAAAACACCTTAAAAAAAATTTCTAATCAATCGGTTGCCGAAACTTTACCGGCTGCGTCGACTTCTCCTTTTAATGATTTTACCAATTCAAAACTTTTAGTGCAACAGCAACAGAATCAATCATTAGCGAAAGTTGCTTTACAACAACAATTTTTTTTTCTTGTGAATCTTAATATTTAAATTTTATTGAACAAAAAATAGAATCGCAGAATTCATTATGGTTTGATTAAATGTTAAAAGATGATGTATTTATTTTACGTTCATATCAAGGTATCGATTATTTATTTTAAAAGCTTCTAAAATTAAAAATAAAGTGGCTATTTTTTAATATCGATTAGAAATTTGTTGAGAATTCATTGTTTATGTTTGATATGTAAAAAATTAAAAGTAACGCTTAAGCGATCTTCATCAATAGTAAATTTTTGAAGAAAAAAATGGTTTGTAACTCGCTGATCCGTTTATCGCAATGGCAGCTCACTTGGTTAATTTATTCAATTTCCAACTATTAAAAAGTTGCCTCCGATCCATTGAGTGAGATACTTGAGAACACCCTAAAACTAACGTAATAAAAGAATTTTAGGCGAAAACAGATGCCTTTCAAACTCACTTGCAGTCAGAATCTCTATTATCTGTGGGAACTTCAGGAATACCACAAGCTTCAGAAACACCACAAGCTTCAGGAAAACCACGAACTTCAGGAACACCACGAACTTCAGGAACTCCGCGAACTCCACCACAAACTTTCCGAGATCTAAATCTAAAGTCTTTAAAAACTATACCTGACAAGAGACCATTTGAAAAAGAGAAATTTCAACAGTAAGTCTTTTTTTTTTTTTGCTTTCTAATTACCATTTTTGTAAATAGAAAATATCAATATTAATATTTGTTTTATTTGCATGATAGGTATACCCAAAAAATTTCTATCGTATATGCATTCGATAAAGCAATTGAAAATTTAGCAGAAGTAGTAGGAGAAGAAGTCGTTAGGGAGCTATCAACTATGTGAGATGTTAATCCTGAAGTATGGACAATAGTATTGGAAGGTTATATTAATATTGTTATTGAAGGAAATAAAGAAACTTTTAAAAACAAAGCCCAGACTAAAGTATCAAATGAGGAAGATCTTTTTAGATTATATTGTGAAAAAATTTTCATTGATTTGTAGGTAGAAATTAATATATTATTTATCAAAGGTGATACTGACAGCTACACTAACGACACTTTTTAGTTTCCAACTCGTAGATATCAATTCTTCTATGAGCAGAGAGATTGGTGAACGTAAACACATAGTGTACCAAATTTCCTCATTATTCAAATTCTATGAGAGAACATTTTCTTTAGTTGAATTTGATTGGATTGAGTCGTATGCTCATGCCGCAAAGATTCTAAAGTCATCTACTAATTCTGGAATTGTAAAAGTAGACATTAAAGGAACAAGAGTGTCTGACGGTTTAGATATATTTCACATGGAGGTAGCAGATCCTCCATATAATGCGAATGATAAGCATATTGTGGACAATACAAAGAAAACTATGCGAACGGACATTATGAATTTAATTACAATATTACGAAATCATCTTGATTGTTCATTAAATCTTGTGACAAAGATCAGGGTGTACAGCATCTTATCTATCAGTGAGTAGAATATATGTTTGTTTGTAGTTAGTGATTGAATTTTCTCATACTCTATTTTCCATCTTTTCAGATGCTCGCTTAACCCTATATTCATTAATCATGCTTAACGATGGCCGCTTTCTGTAAGTGAACTTGCTACCGCCGTTATACCATTCAGTTTCAACGGTTAAAGTCAGTACAAACATGTCCTTAGATTGATGGCTATCCTCCATGTATGTATTTAAATAGTTTGTTAACTGATAGTCATGCTGCTATTTTTCAAGATGTTCATATAGTTGTAGTCTGAAATCATCAAACAGGAAAAATTAATGGATAAAGTTAATATGCATGTACTTCGGCCAAAGGACATAACCGTTCATCAAGTATTAAAGATCCCCGAATTGGAGTAATACCAATTTTCATAATTTTTTGTATTTTTTTTTTTTTTTTTAAAAAAAATTATAATGTAATGAGATTTCAATGTTAAGAAATTTTAATCTTTTGTAAAAAAAATAGAGATTTTAATGCAGATTAATCCAGTTCCGTTTTTAACAATTGGCATAAATATTTTATTTTACCCACACTATCCATGCCTGTCATCTAGACGGTGGATGGTGCTTGGAAGTGCGAAGAGAGATAATCACGCAGACGTGACCTCCCTGTCACAGTCCTGTTTACCGGTTTAACCATCTAGGTGATTGGTCAACAGAGGTGCGAGTAGAAAGATCTCACTTGCCATCTAGGTGAACTTTTTACTTGTAATGGTAGGACACCAAGTTTCGCGCCTGTCATCCAGACAGCGAACTGGTGGAGAATCTAATTTTATACTTTTGCATGGTATTACTTTTATTTATCAAGTTTTTAACTACTGTATGTTATTTTATTATTAAGCAACATTTAAAATGAGAAGTTATACAATCAAAGGAAGGAAGAATTTATGTACATTATTAAAGAAAAGCTTTGTAATATCAATATAAGATAAGATTATTTAATATCAAATTGGTTTGTTTATAATTACTTTAAACTTTTTAATGCTGTAATTTTTGCCGTTCTCTTCATAGAATTTCATAGAACTTCATGTAACTCGAAGACACTTAAAATAATTATGCCAATTGTATACCCACACCATCCATGCCTGTCATCTAGACGATGGATGGTGCTTGGAAGTGCGAAGGGAGATAATCATGCCTGTCATCTAGACGGTGACCTCCCTATCGCAGTCCTGTTTACCGGTTTAACCATCTAGGTGATTGGTCAACAGAGATGCGAGTAGAAAGATCTCACTTGCCATCTAGGTGAAATTTTTACTCGTAATGGTAGGCCACCAAGTTTCGCGCCTGTCATCTAGACGGCGAACTGGTAGAGAATCTAATTTTATACTTTTGCATGGTATTACTTTTATTTATCAAGTTTTTAACTGCTATATATTATTTTATTATTAATCAACATTTCTAATGAGAAGTTATACAATCAAAGGAAGGAAGAGTTTATATACATTATTAAAAAAAAGCTTTGTAATATCAATATAAAATTATTTAATATCAAATTGGTTTGTTTATAATTACTTTAAACCTTTTAACACTGTAATTTTTGCCGTTCTCTTCATAGAATTTCATAGAACTTCATGTAACTCGAAGACACTTAAAATAATTATGCCA